TACTGGCTGCCTCCCACATGCCCCCCCCCCCTGGGGATTTGGTCCATAACCTGAGCATGTGCCCTGACCAGGAACCGAACCAGCGACCTCCTGGTGCATGGGTCGATGCTCAACCAATGAGCCACGCTAGATTTATTTTTTGTTAATCCTAAGGATATTCTTTCCATTGATTTTGGAAAATCATGGAGGGGAGGGGAAGAATGAGAAACAGCCATGTGAGAGATATACATCAATTACTTGTCTCCTGCACGTGCCCCAACCAGGGGCTGGGGATCAAACCTGCAAACCAGGTACGTACCCTTGACTGGAAATCGAACCCTCAACCCTTCAGTGCATGGGCCGATGCTCTAACCACTCAACCACACTGGCCAGGGCTCAGCCTTATTTCTTGACCACATATAACAGGCCTGTCTCTGTGCTAGGCACTAGGGATTGAGCAGAGAAAGGACTCAGTGGAGGACAGGCTGGGTCCCGCCCCCACGGACACTGGCTGGCAAGGGGTGAAGCTGGCAGGAGTCGGAATAGTGAGGGGCATGAGGGTGGACACTGGAGCCAATGCTCTTCTCTCTGGTTTTACTTCTGCAAGACATCACTCTGGCTTTAGGAGTCCCAGCCTCCGCGACCGGCACACGTCCGCCCCATCTCCTCAGTCCTCCACATTGAACAGCCGCCTTGGTTAGCTCCTGTGGTCGTGCAGTCTACAAGCACATTTAAACAAGGCAGCCTCTGCCCTGGTCAGTTTGGCTCAGCGGTTAGAGCGTCCGTCTGCGGTCAGGAGACACCCAGGTTCAGTTCCCGCTAAGGGCACGTACTTCGGTTGCAGCTTGTCCCCGGCCCTGGTTGGTCGTGCAGGTGGCTCGATGTGTCCCTTTCACGTCGATGTTTCTCTCTCTCTCTTCCTCTCTCTCCCTCCCACTCTATCTGTACAAAAAATGGAAAAATGTCCTCGGGTGAGGATAAAAAAATAAAAATAAAAAAATAAACAAGGCAGCCTCTCTTCCTGAGCCCTGGCGTGACAACCTGGCTCCACGTGGGTGCAGAACCAGGACCTGGGCCTATTTACAACCATGTTCGTACACCTGCCAGGGTTACCTCTGTTTCAACATCCATTAGCTCAACAAATATTGATTAAGTTCCTACATGTTAAAAAAAAAAACACCAGGGCTGGCACCTGTGGAAATACACATTAAACCAGAGCCTCCAGGATTTGGAAGAAAGGGAGAAAAAAATTTAACAGCCGAAGCTGTCGTTTTACATATCTTCTCCCACCAGCCTGGGGGTGGAGGGGGGAGTGTCTTAGCCCCCCCCTTTTTTTATTATGTTTTTATTGGTTTTTTAGAGAGAGATAGAAACATCGATGTGAGAGAGAAGCATCGAGTGGCTGCCTCCTACACGCCCCCTACCAGGAATCGGGCCTGAAACCCGGGCATGTGCCCTGACCCGGAATCGAACTGGGAACTCTCAGTCCATGGGACAAAGCTCAATCCACTGAGCAACACACTGGCCAGGCTCCTTTTTATAAATAAAAGGCTGACAGAGATTAAATGCACTGCCCAAAGTCAAAGCCTGAAAGTGTAGAATCAGGATGCTACTCAGTCTGTGATCTCTCCAGCCGACCTGACACACACACACACACATATATAATGGCATAGACAACAACCATGGGGACTATGGTCAACCCAAAAAGATGGGTGTTCAGACCTGCTGCCCCTAGGTGGAGAGCTGACTTTGGAGCTCAGCCTCAGGGGTCAGGAAGACGGTGAGGTGAAAGCCAGTAAACTCCTCTAATCCACTGCATTTTGTGTCTGCAGCCAGAAAGTCCAGCCTGATGAACTCCACACTAAGAATTCTTTGAAGAAGGGACAAGCCATGACCCACCAGCCACAGGTTCTTGAGTCATGACTCCTGCCTGCACAGACTTCTACCTTCATGTGCCTCAGGCCTCACCATTCACAGAACAAGTACTTCCTACCAACATTCAGTCCAATCCCTGTAAGAGCCCTAGGGGGTCGGCCTAGGTACACAGCTCCTTTACAGAGGACAAAACAGAAGGGAAGTGCCAGACACCTGTCTTGTTCGGGGATCTCTCCGCAGTACCTTGAATCACCGATGGCACAAAGCTGGTGCTCCAAAAGTATTTGTTGAATGACTTAATAAAGGCTCAGAGAAGAGAAATAACTTGCCCAAAGTCTCATGAACAATCTTGGTTGCACCAGGACTAAAAATAGGGTCTTTTGCCTCCCACCCAGTGGCCCTTGTATCCCAATGCACTGTACCCCCTCACAGACAGACACACACACACACACACACACACACACACGCTCTCCTGCCTCCATCTGAATGGTGGGATTCTGTCCACTTGTCAGCTCTGGTCCCACTCAATCCTTGCTTTACAGCAAGAGTTACTTTAAATCTGATTCTCCACACATACCACTTCTTTATATCCCTCTGAGCACTAGGTGACATTTACAGTCGAGAAAAAGGAGTACCATGCAAGGTGAATTCATAGCAGAACCAACTCTGGACCAGATTTTCCAAGTCCACCCCAGAGTCTGTGCCATCCTGCCACCGCCTGCCATCAATCCTGCCAAAGCAGGTACTAGCTCCCCTTGGTCCAGAGATCCTGGCAGGATCTGGAGGCCAGGCCTAGCTTTCCTGCCTGCCTCACCAACAAGAGACAAGTAAGCTGAAGTTGCCTACCCGGAATGTGGCTGCATCCCAGCCTCACCATGCACCAGCCTGGGACTCTGCGCTGGTCCACTTCCCCCTCTGCCCCTCATTTCCTCATCCTCATGTGTGTCTGGCTCACAGAGCTGTTGGGAGTAACAACTGGAACAATACATGTGACTAGATTAGAAAAATGCCTAGCACAGGACAGCCAATGCCAGCTCTTGGAACTATTGAGTTTGCCTGGTAAATTACCAAATTTCCCAGATGACCCTGTTCCCACCAGGCTGCCCAGAGGCCTGGTACATACCCATACCACCCAGGCCAGAGTTTTATGAATATATGTAAGAGGTAGGGGGTGCTATATATTTTTTCTTCCCAACTATATTGAACACATTTGTTCATTCATTGCTTTGATAATACTGAATACGAACTATTGTGTACATCCTCTGTTCAGTGCTTGGGAAACAAGTTTTTGCTTCCCAGGAACTCAGTCCTCCCAGTCCTTAAAAGGACCTAATTTCTAACTACTGGGCAGTCCCGTCACCCCCACCCTCCTAGGCATACAGTAGGTACTCAGTGAACAAGAATTTCCTTCTCTTCTACTCCCCGTGGAAGATGCCAAGACACCCACCTTCCTAATCCCACAACTCTTCTTCGATTTAAACTCTGTTCTCAAGAAGGCTTCACCCTGAAATTTAAAAAGAGCCCCTCTGCCTTGCCCCCATGGGAATTTCAATTACCCACTCCATTCTCTGCTCCACCAACCAACTGCCCAATTGTCCCATGAAATAAAGGGGTGAGCAGGGGACTGTCGCAGCTCTCCCAGGAGGGGCAGAGAGGAAGAAAAGGAGGGGTCTTATGTAATTGCTGCATTTCCAAGAAATTAGCTCAAACCCGGGGGATCTTCGGATGTCTCATAGGCCTGGGCCTCAGGTCGCCCGACTTTGAGGAAGCCCTTTGTGCGTGTGTTTTAAATTACCTCTGCTTGTCTGATGAAGTGAGTAAAAGGGCTTAGGATTCCTGAGTGAGCTAATACAGGATGCCTTTGGCTGGAAAAAAAAAACTTCAGTCGGCTCCCTAAACTCCCTCCCTTTTAAGTTTAAAAAAGGGAATGAATGTTACCATTTTTGGACATGAGCGTTCTCCCTCAAGCCCAGCCCTAACCGCACTATCCAGAGGGACGCGCCATCCTGTCCCCCCCCCCACCCCCATTCCCAGATCAGCAGGGGGTGGGGGAATGGGGGTGGGGCGAGGAGGGATGAAACAAGGAGGGACCGGATGGGAGCGGGCAGCGGGGGAGGAGGGAGAGAGGGGTGTTCAGGGTACGTGGCCGCCTGGGGCAAGAGCACACCGCGCAGGCAGGAAGCAAAGGCAGTGTTGGGGCGCCCTCCCCCCACCCAAAGAGTGGTTTCTGACCTCTTCCTGCCACTGGCCTCAGTGCCGGAGTCCCATCGCCAGCTGCAAGCCTAGGCCCGTTGGCGGAGTGCACACCCAATCCACGGAGCCTGGGGCACGGCTAGGCAAAGGTCCCCAGTGACTGGCCCTAAATATTACCGGGAATAATCCCCTGCCCTAGAGCCCCTCAGTTCAAATCAAGTTGCCCAAATTCACCTCCTCCCGGTAATGAGCAGGGGCCAGAGGAGCAGGACGCAGACTCAAGCCCACCTCCGCTCGCAACTACCAACCGAGTTAAGCAATAAAACGGTTTGCCGTCCTGACCCCGCCCCCACAGGGCCCGCTAGGGAGCCCGCGTATACCCCTGGCTTTTTTCGGCCCGAACCCCACTCCAGCAGGTCCAGGCCGACCTGGAGGCGGCTTCCAATCCCTCCGGCGCCCTCTTTCCCCTCGGTCTGCGGGCCGGGGCTGAGAGGCGCAGAGTCCCGTGCCGCTTGCCCCCTCCAGGTACCCAGCCCAGGGCGGCCCAGGAAGCGCGCTGCCACCGCACGCCATATGGAGAGGCGGCCAGGGGGCGGGGAAGGGAAGGGAAAATCGATCCGGAGCAGCAGCTACTGAGCCGGGGGATCAGCCCCAGTCTCCCGAGCACCGCCCCCGAGCCCTGCCCACGCGGGGATGGTGCGGCGACAGCCGGGTGACCTGGGTCACCGACCCCAAGGCGACCTGCCCGCCGGCGGCCCCACTTCCCTAAATTCGGGATGGGCGTTCGCGGGCCCTGGGTCAGGGGCGCTCCCCCTTCCGCCCCACGCCTGTAACCCAACACCCCACCTAGCAGCGGCCGCGCATCCCCCGCCCCCGCTCGTGCGCGCGAGGAACCGGTTCCCAGCCCGGAGCCGCTAGTGCGGCGGGCGGAGCGGGCTGGGGCGGCTGCTGACCTTTCTCTGCTGCTTCTCCCAGGCCGGATCCAGGAGCAGGTCTCGATCCCAGTCCTCTTCGGGCTGCATGTAGTCGTTGGTTTGCTGGGAATCATAATGGTCCATGATGGTGCGCGCGTGCTAGGGGCTGGATTTCTTCCTCCACCTTCTCTCCGGGCGGCGGCGGCGGCTGCTGCTGCTACTGCCCCGGCGTGGAGAGAGAGTCGAGCTGGACTGGCCTGGGCTGGCGGGGCCGGGCTAGCTCCCCTGCGCCCGGATCCGCCGCGGCGCTACTCGCAAAGGCTGCTGCTGGCGGCGTCGGCAGCAGCGGCTAGAGCTCGCGGACTGCCTGCTTCAGGGGGGGCGCTCGGACCTAATCTCCACGCACACTGAGCGGGGCGGACACACTCGCGCTGCCGGAGCGAGGCAGGCGGGGGCGGGGGGGAAGGGGCAAAGCCCTCCCTAGGTTCTCCATTGGCCAGGCCGAGTTGCCCAAACTTCCCCCCATCGCCTCTCATTGGGAATTCCTGGCATCCGTCAGCGGGGCCATGGCTCATATAGGTGGACTGGGCGGCCCCTTCCCGGCGCGCACTCCCCCGCCCACACCCCGGGTTCCCACTCCCCCGCGGCTCATGTGACACCAGCTTAAGCTGAACGGGACCGAAGCTGGGGGACGCCTCCTTGAGCACAGGGACCGAGCGGCTGCGCGCTCCGGATCCCAGGAGCCTCCGGGGATTGGATACACTCCCCGCTCGCAGTAAGGCCCGAACTCAGGCGCGCCGGCGTTATTGCGCTCCCACGCGCGCTCCAAGTCCAGGTGGCCCGGGGCTGGAGAAAGGCTGCGAGGAAACCCGAAAACATTTCATTTTCTCCTTCCCAGGGTTCGGAGAAGTCGGCACCCAAGGAAAGGGGCGGAGAATGCGGGAATAGAAAGGAATTTCTTGGGAATTTCCTGACTCCGCCGCCCGCACCCGAGCCCCGCCCGGCTCGAGCCCGCCGACCCCTGCCCTCTGGGAGCTAGGATTCTTGCCAGACAAGTGCGCTCGGAGACCACAAGCTCCCCTGCCTCACCGCACGTCCTTTCCCTCCCGCCCTTGGTCTCAGGAGACCTCTAAGTCGCGGGGTTTCCCAGGTGGCAACTATGTCGCCCAGCTTCCCGGATCCCCTGCCAGTCCGCGCAAACACACCGGGGCAGCATTCTGACAACGGGGAAGTCCCGGAGTGATCTACCCACTCCACGCCTCTCCTCTCCGCCCAACACACACAGCGGACAGATGGGGAGACTGAGGCTCAAAGAGTTGAGCTTGAACAGGGATTTAGCGGGTTCTCAGGGCTCCACAGGCTAACCTCGTAACCTTATGCCGACAAACAAAGGTTTATTGTTATTGAAGGAGGAAGGAGGGCCAGACTGACGAAACACCTCTGACTTCTTTGTGCCTGCCTGGGCTTCCTTCCTCGGACCTCGCAAGAGGAGGGTCCAAACACCTGCCCCAGTAGTGATGGACACCTAGAACAGGCAGGCCTCACATCCTGGTGGGCTCCTGAGGGATCCCAGGACTGAAGAACAGCAGCAAGTAGACCAATAGTTTATGCACATGATAGTGCTTAATTTATATTTGTGGCTATGAGGGATGGCCGAGTCACCTGCAGAAATGCAAGTGTGGTAGTCCAAAAGTGAATGAAGGCTTTAGAGGAAAAAGCTTGCTGACAGAAAGGGCCATCAATCAGGATACTTGAAAGGCCACAGATGGAAAAGGTGAGGAAAGTGCTTCTGACTCTCAGAAGAGCCAGCTGATGGCTATTGTAAGCAGATATCTGTGGTGGTGCTGCTCCCGGCATCATTAGCCCATCTCACACGCTTATGCAAGTGTTACCAGTTAGCACCGTGCTTGCCACAAGTCCCGGCTGAGGAAGCACTGCTTCTGAGCCACAGACAGCAGATTTATGGACTATTTTATAACTACTTCTAAACTATGGCTCTAAGCCTAACATAGAGGGTAATGATGGTGCTGTATCCATTCATTCACTCAATAAATATCTGCTGAGCATCATCAGTGTGTCAGGGGAGGTGCTGGATGTTACAGAGAAATGAAAAAGACACAATCCCTGCCCCCATGCAGCCCAGCAGAGACACACAGAAACAATACTACATTGCAATGAGATAGATGCAAGGGGACTGTGAGGGCACAAAGGAACGCTGAGCCAGCATAGGAAAGGAGGCTCCAGGTGTAACTTTTGGGGGAGGTGAAATTCAAATGAGCCTTTAAGAACAAGAGTCAGCCAGAAGAAGAGGAGTATAGGAGGTTATTCCAGACAGAAGGAACAGTGTGAGCTAATACATGGGGGCAGGAAACTGCATGGTGTAAAAGGAATGCCTACCATTTCAGTGCAGCTAGATTAGACATTCAAGGCTGGGTGGGGCAAGTGGTGGGGCTGGAGAAGTGGGCTGCAGCCAGACCACGAGGGCCTTGTGTGCAGTGTACAGTGTGGATCTGAAGGGAACAAGGCTGGCTGGAAGCTGTGACAATCAGTTGCAAAGCTGTTGCGAAAATCCAGATAGAAAATACTTAGTCCCTTAGGGCTGCAGTAACAGAATACCATAGACTGCGTGGTTTATACAACAAACATTTATTTCTCACTGTTTTGGAGTCTGGGAAGTCCAAAATCAGATTCGGTGTCTGGTAGGAGCCTGCATCCTCGTTCATAGATGCCCATCTCACTGTGTCTCCATGAGGTGGGAAGGGCAGGGAACTCTCTGGAGTCTTCTTTATAAGGACACTAATCCCATTCATGGGTGCTTTGTTCTTATGACCTAATCACTCTTCTAATACCATCACACAGGGGGTTAGGAGTAGAACATACAGATTCAAGGGGGGCACGAATGTTGAGTCCATAGCAAATGGAGAAGAATGGATAGATTTAGGAGATAAAACTGAGAGGCCTCCCTGGCCGGTTTGGCTCAGCGGTTAGAGCATCGGCCTGCGGTCCGGAGAGACCCGGGTTCAGTTCCCGCTAAGGGCACGTACCTCAGATGCAGTTTGTCCCCGGCCCTGGTTGGTTGTGCGGGTGGCAACCACTCGATGTGTCCCTTTCACATCGATGTTTCTCTCTCTCTCTGTTCCTCTCTCTCCCTCCTACTCTACCTGAACAAAAAATGGAAAAATGTCCTCGAGTGAGGATGATAAAAAATAAATAAATAAATAAAACTGAGAGGCCTAGGAGCTTGGATGTGAGGACGAAAGAGGAGTCTTTGTTGCTCTCAACAAATGTCCAGTAGGGGACACACCACACACTTTGCCTATATTACCTTATTTAAGCTCCACTTAGGAGGTCAGAAATATCTCTGTCTTACAAAGGAAACCAGCTAAGTCTCCAAGAGGTAGCTTAAGTAGTCCAAAGTTACATAGGTATATGTGGGTCCTAAACCCACGCTTTTAACCCAGTGGTTCTCAAACCTAGATTAGTTTGACACCCCTCTCCCAGAGGGTATTTGGCAATCTCTGGAGACATTTTTGTTTGTCTCAACTGGTAGGTTATTATTAGCATCCAATGGATTGAAATCAGGGATGCTGCTAAACATCCTATAATAGACAGGACAGTCTCCCCACAAGAAAGAATGAGCCAGCCCCAAATACCGACAGTGCTGAGGCTGAGAACCTCTGCTTTAACCATGGGTTTCTAGTTTGGATGATCTGGTGAGTGGTGGAAATATAACCAACTGAGATAAAGAATTTCGGGCTTGGAAGTGGAGTCATGGATTGAGTTTGAACACACTGAACTTCAAGTGCTCTGAGAATGTTCAGGTTCAGCTGTCCAGAAGGAAGTTGGCTGTGTAACCCCAACCTCGGGGGAAACAGATTTGAGAGTGATCTGCACGTGGGTAGCACTGACACCATGAGACCTTCCGTGAAGAATGCCTAAGTGGAGCTGAGAAGACCAAGCACAGAACCCGGAGAAGCGGCACTTAAAAGGGGAGTATAGCCCTGGCCGGTTTGGCTCAGCGGTTAAAGCGTCAGCCTGCGGTCCAGAGAGACCCGGGTTCGGTTCCCGCTAAGGGCATGTACATCAGTTGCAGTTTGTCCCCGGCCCTGGTTGGTTGTGCGGGTGGCAGCCACTCGATGTGTCTCTTTTGCGTCGATGTTTCGCTCTCTTCTTCTCTCTCCCTCCCACTCATCTGAATAAAAAATGAAAAAAAATGTCCTCGGGTGAGGATTAAAAAAAAAGGGGGGGGGGAGTGTAAAGAACCAGAACCCCTGAGGGAGACAGAGAGGAAATGATCAGTGGAACACGAAGAGCCTGGACCAGATGGTGTTGTGAAAGTCAAAGGAGTGAACTTTCAAAGTGAGAGGAATCAGATACATGAGAAAAGTCTGGAAAGTAAAGCTTAAAAAGTTTTGTTTGGATGTGACAGTTGGAAATTCCTTGGTGACCTTTGCGGAATTTTAGTAATATGGCCAAGGCTATGAGTTTGAGACACTAGGAGCTGAATAAATGGAGACAGTGAACATAGAAGGGAAGAGGAAATGTCAGGCAGTAGTTAGAGGGGGAACTAGGGTCAAAGGAGGAAAGTTTTAAGGATAGGAGAAACTGGAGCTGTTTGTAGTCTGAGAGGAAGAATTCAGTTGGAAGAAAAGGCTTGAAAATGTAAGCAAAAGAAAGTTGAGGAATGGCACCAAGTTCTTGCAGAGACAGGACCATGTGGGCTCAAGGATGCAGGCTAAAGGATGGACCAATAAAAAGAGGAAGCTGGCCCTGGCCAGGTAGCTCAGTTGGTTAAAGCAGCATCCCAATGCACCAAGGTTGTGGGTTCGATACCCAGTCAGGGCATATACAAGAATCAACCAATGAATGCATGAATGAGCAGAACAACAAATCTACCTCTCTCCACCCCCCCACTTCCGCTCTCTCTCAAATCAATTTTTTTTTTTTTAATCCTCACCAGAGGACATTTTCCCATTTTTTGTTCAGATAGAGAGGGAGGGGGAGAGAGAGAGAGAGAGAGAAACATCAACATGAAAGGGACACATCGAGTGGCTGCCACCCACATGACCAACCAGGGCCGGGGACAAACTGCAACCAAGGTACATGCCCTTAGGGGGAACTGAACCCGGGTCTCTCTGGACCGCAGGCTGACTCTCTAACCACTGAGCCAAACCAGCCAGGGCTCAAATCAATTTTTTAAAAGTTAAGAAGAGTAGGGCCAGAGAGCAGGCGCCAACGTTAGCTGGAGAGAGGAGAGGGAGACGGGGGTGAGCGGTGGTGGTGTTGGCGGCAGGGAAGGCGAATAAAAATTTTTTTAAATAAATAAAAAATTAAGAAGAGGAAGGCCCCTCAAGTTCTTAGACAGGGGAGGGG